CACCTGAGAAAAGCAGATGGTCATGTTGGGCAAATGCCTGGTAGAGGTGCCAGGAGCTCCTCCTTGGTTCCCAGCTGGCATCAAAAGAGATGATCACTGGGAGATGCCAGTATTTTCCCCGCTGGGCGATTCCCAGGCGCACCAACCACACCAAGTGGGAAGCAGGGAAGCAAGAGGGTGTTAGAGGGTTTGGGCAGCATTCTTTCTTCCCTATATTAAGTGAAGTGGATTTTGATGAGCCTATGAAGAATTTCCCTCCCCACAGTCCCTGTTTTCCAAATAAAACCTTAAGTGAAGCTCAGCAATCCCGCCCCTGTACATGAGGGTTTCCCAGCTCCTTCAGATGTAGTCTTCAACCACCAAAGCAGGGTTCTGTGTGTTGCTGGCACTGTGAAACCTGCAGACTGAGCTAGCAGAGGTGTTACAGACTTCCTGGGAAGATGATGCTATCCAGGTGCTGCCCTTATCAGTGTCTGCTTTCACAATGCAAGGTGAGAAGAGGTTTTGGCCTTTGCCTGGTCAGCTGCGTCTCAGAACAGATTGGTGACGACATCCAAAGCTCTGTGGAGTGAAACTGGTAAAAACAGAATGGCAAACAAACATCCCACTGGGGAGGAGAGAGGAGGAAGCAACAGCCCTGTCCCAGTGGCACTGCAAGAGCACCTTCCCTGAGCAAGCACCAGAATGAGACAGGACATCATGAGATTCCACCAACTTTCTTACTCTCACACACCCCAAAACATCGATAAACACATTCTTCTGGTTACAAAACCCCTTCCCTCCCACTCAGGTCTCACACAGAAGTCTCAGAAGTTCTGATTTAACAAGCAACAGTTTGGATATTAAATAAACACCAGGACCATCAAATGCACTGTGGCTTCTAAGCTTTTGCTTCTGCTACCCACTGAAATGTAAATATAGAGCATAAAGAGAGATCAGGATTTGCTGGCATCCCAAGGGTCACTTGCCTACAGATTCATCAGCTCTGAATAAATCACCCAGATACTCTGCAAAAAAACTGAACTACTGAGACTTTATCCACTTTTTGCCCTGGTATCTCCCAGAACTCAAATGCAAGTGCTTTTAGGAACCTTAACCCCCTCAACTACATGGGGACAGGATGCATTCCATGGTGATAGCCATGAGAGCAGGCATGGACACATCTACCCTCCGCTACCCACCCACCCACTAAAGGTGGCACATCCATCTAGCTTGGAGCAGTGGAAGAGGAGCTTTGGCTTCCTTGCAACCTTCTATGTAGATGTATCTCTTAAGATACTGGGAGAACCATCTGGAAACCTAAAAGCCAGCTATACCTGCAACATCTCAGAGCCAATCACTCTCTTCTGGAGCTGCATCCCACCTTTAAATGTATCCTTCTCATAAACCATGAGCAACCCGTGGCTTTGGCGTGGTATGTGCGGACACAACTGAGGCACACGAAAGAGAGTGAGATTCAGTTTTAGAGGAGGAGACCCTTACCTTGCTGACCTCCTGGATACAAGCGCCTGCGCCCTGACCCCCATCATGATGGCAAGTGCTTCCAGGTGCTGACAAAAGCTGTGGGGATGAGCGAGTAAGGCACCGTTGTGATACAGTTCCACGTGTCCGACGTAGGGTCGTAGCAGTCCAGCGTTTTGCACCTCTGAGTGCCAAAGTAACCCCCCACCACGTAGAGTTTATTCCCCGAAGCCAAAGCGTGGCACGACATGCGCTTGGCTGTCATGTCCCCAATGCGTGTCCACTGGTCCGCCTCACAGTCGAAGCGATAGGCAGAGGCTGCTGTGAACTCGGTGTCTCCTCCCATGATGAAGATCTGGCTGCCCAGCACAGCGGCTGCCGTGTAGCGCCAGGGCTGTGGGCACTCGGCTTTGATCATCCACCGGTTCTCAGCTGGATCATAGCACTGCACTTTGGACACCATGTCTCGGTGAATGCTGGTCCCACCAAAGACAAAAAGCTTGAGCCTGGCGCTCACCACCGCAGCGTTGCTCACTCCATCTCTCAGAGGAGCCACCATCGTCCATTTGTTGGATATGGGATCGTACTTCTCTACTTGCTTCAAGGAGACAGAAGGAGACGCAGGGAAGACTCCAGCTACCGCAGTGTGTCCACCAACCACATACAGGCAGTTTTCCAATTCAGCCGAGCCGTGTCCAAACCGAGCTATTAACATTGGGGCAGCTTTTGACCATTCCTCATGAACTGTGTCATACACCCATACGTCTTTTGAGACCCCGTTCTCCGAGCCCCTGCCTCCAGTGATATATACTTTGCAGCCAATGGCACAAGCACTAAACTCCTTCCGTGGACTTGGCAGGTCTGCTTTGGGGATGATTTCCTTTGCTTTGTGATCCACTTGGTAGATCTTATCACACATGAAGGTCTGTCCTCCCAGGATCAGCAAGGTGTGCCCAGCTTTGCGAGGCCTGGCACAGGGACTGGTGACTACCCCATCGTTCTGGAGGATCTTCTTCTTGCACTGAATAGCTTCGTCCAAGACAATCTTGTTCCTTTCATCCACCATGATCAAGTCCTCACAAGCCAAGGCTTCCTTGAGGCATTCAGAAGGAAGCAAGGCCAGACGAACGTTCCTCAGCAGTTCTGGGAGATAAGCCTTCCGCTCATCCAGATCGTATTTTACCCACTGGATGACAGCCTTAAAGACCTTTTCTTCGTCTTCAATTTCCAGCTCATCACTGGAGATGAGGTCCAGCAGAGTGTCCTTGGAAAGGTTGTTGAAGTCCTCGCTCTTGTGAACAGTCTCAAAGTTGACCAGGCACATCCTCCAGGACAGCTCATAGAGCCGGCGGCACTGATGAGCATCCGAGAGCAGCATCATGCCCAGGCAGTTGGAAGGGTAGAGGTTCTTCTCCAGGAACTCAGCCGCTGCATCTCGGACGTCATGGAACTGCAGCATGTCTCCAGCCTCGAGGAGGGACTCGGCGTTCTCCTCATTGATGATGATCCGAGAGGAATAAGCAAAGTCCAGCAGTAGCTCCAGCACCTCTGGGTGGAGGCTGTCATGGAAGTTCACCTCATCATCCAGGCTCTCCCGGAGGCCATTGCTAAACATGGCTTCGAAGTACCTGCTGGAGGCAGCCAGCACTGCCCGATGACATGGGAACGACCTGTTTCCTGCCCAAAGGGTGACATCGGTGAACATGCAGTGCTTCCGCAGGGTGTTCAGATGGGACAACACACAGTCCGGGTGGGAAGCTTTGTGGAAAAGCAAGATGTTCATGGAGCCGGTGCTCGTCCGGGATTTACGGTTCTCGTGGACGCTGACTGACATGGTGACAGGGCTCTTGCCTGCAGAGACACAAACAGGAAAACCATTACTCTCTTGTCCTTACTGGTGCATTTGCTATCCAAGCCTGGTACCCTGCCAATGGACCTCAAATGTGAACCACCAGGTGACACCCCAATGCTCCTGCTCTGTGGGTGCTCCTGCACCCTGGCTCGCAGAGCCTGTGCCTCCTTGCACCCCACTTTAACTTGGGATGAGCCGGGTGGGAAGGCAGAGCAGGGTGAATGGGGAAATTCTGCATTTGGGTTTCAGCAATGGAGCAACAAAGTGAAGTAATCAAACCCCAGACTGGATGGTAAATTGTCTCAACAGCCCCTAGAGGGTACTGGCAAACCGCAGAAGAGTTATTTTTCCTTAGAAAACACTGCATTAAGAGAGCAAACTATCCAGGATAAAGGGCATCGGTCTGTTCTTGGCTCAGCAGAAATCATTTTGGCTTCTCATTTTCAGGAAGATTACTGATGGTTTAGGAAAGGCAATGGCTACAGGTTTTATTTATGGAATATTTAGCTACCGGCACAAGATGAAAGTTCGGAACAAATTATAGCAATCCCTTTCATTGTAGTTCCTGTTGATAAAACTCACCAGACACTTCATGCGACTGTAACATTCTGCAGGACAGATTCACATCAGAGAATAAGACAAAAGAGACAGCTAAATTATACTTTTTAACAGACAGGCAGACTCAAACACAAGGCTTTTATTAGCTACTATTTCGTTTAACTGCTACCTGATACCTATTCTTCCCCATAGAAGAAAAACCCTTTGGACCAATCAAATTAATACTACTTAGATGATAAAATCCAAGTCATTTACTCCAAAGTATTTTAGCCAGCTCAATTTTGTTCCCCATGTAACTAAAACAGACTGACAGATACGCACACATGCTCTGTCCCAGGAGTGCTTGGCACTCAGGGCAGGGAGAATGTTGCGCAGATGCCCAGGAGCATCAAGGGCTGCTGGCCTCAGCTCAGCTTCTCTGCCAGCACAAGGCAGCCACACGAAGTGACTACATGCTGGGAAAAACAGGCCTAATTCACAGAAAGAAGGAGTTTCTGAGAAATGCTATCTGGCTCTGCTACATCTGCTCTCCAACCCAACGCTATTTTTCTATCCCTTTTCTACCCTGTCTTCTCCAAACCACTGCAGTTTTGCTTTGCAGGCTGGAGACACCAGGGCTGAAACCCCACAGCATTCCGCTTCCAGCCACCTAATTGTTTAGAAATCAGTAAATAGCCCCACAGATATGAAAGGGTTTTTGGTTGGGTTCTTTTTGTTGTTACTGGTTGGTTGGGTTTTTAACTCGCTCGTCACAGCCCAAGGGTTTTCAAAGGTCTTTCTTACCTACAAGCACACGGTCTACAGATTAGCCCTGTCCTGTCCAGCTGCGTTGAGCTCATCATCATTCAGGGTCCTGGGAGAAACCATGGAATGCTGACAGAGCAGATACAGCACACCCAGGCTGACGACAGGTCCCAGCCTTGACCTGGTGGAGACCTGGATCCGCACAGCCCTCCCATGCTCCGTGGGTGGATAAGCTCAAGAGGAGGTGGATGGCCAGATAAGCTGCCTGACTCATGCTCTGTTTACGCATTTCCTACCCCCTGCTTCCCCAGCACCTCCAAAAGAGTCTAAATTCAACAAATAGTTGTGGGCATGTCCCTCCTTCCCCCGCGCTGCCATGAATTATTGAGGTTGGTCTTCCCAAAGCCTCACTCATTCCTTAGGGCTGTGTCACAGCCCTGGGAAAAGGTGTCTCTCTGCTTCCCACTGCACAGAGATAGCTTGACCAAGCAGCCACAACTCATACCTGGCCTTTAAGCCAGGCCGGAGCACTGGTGTGGGTGCTCAGGTTAGAGATGTGCATGCTCATCACCAACATCTTTGTAGCCTGGCGCTGAGGCCGCCAAGCTCATTCTGCTTGTGATTGGAAGCTGCACAGCAACAAGGCTCCCAGACAGGAAGGAAAATGCCATTTTGGAGCAGCACTTTGATATGCATCTGAAGGAAATGGTTTTCAACATCTACACCCAGCACAGGGACAACACTAATTTAAGAGGTTATATGGATTCCCATGTCAAAGCTCTATAATGCCGAAGTGAGGAATACAAATGAAACATTTATGAGTCTGCTAAAAGCTATTGATTTAGGTTTCCTATTCCCACAACCTCAGAAACCACCCTGCCACTGCTCCTGCTTTCTTTGCTTGCAGCTCAGGTCAGCTATTCAATCTTAACCTTTGATTTGCTTATGCACAAGAAATGAAGCAATTTATATAGGACAGCTATGGAAACAAACAAAAAGATTGCAGGAAGGCTGACACTAAGATTAGAAAAGCCACTACCCAGAATGGAAGGACGTCATTTAGAAATTGAAAATGTCTATATGTATGTTTATATATGTCTACATAAAAGCTGCAGCAGCATCACTATATATATATACACACACACGCACATACACTCTCCTCTGTACTCACTGATTCAGAGAAAAGGAAAGAAAATGTCTAGAAGTCTTCCAGACAAAACTATGCTTTTATTTAGCTGAAAAATACCCCCAAAATAAGGCATTGTGATGCAAAATGAACCTGAAACAGCCCTCAGCACTTCAACCAGAGATCCTTCAAACTTTTAGCTATCAACTGACCTAACAGAATGCTTTGCTAGTGTGAAGACTCTCTAAAATTGTCTGACGAAACATTTATAACTACAGTGCTTTAAGTTAAAATTGTAAGAGACTCCATAATCTAGTAATTATTAAAAAAGAGTAATTATTAAAAGCTGAAGTTTTAATCATTACCTCTGATGAAGAAACTCCATTCATCAATCATTCTCTTTCAAAGTCCATGAATAAAAAAGTCTGACACTAAGATTAGAAAAGCCACTACCCAGAATGGAAGGACGTCATTTAGAAATTGAAAATGTCTATATGTATGTTTATATATGTCTACATAAAAGCTGCAGCAGCATCACTATATATATATACACACACACGCACATATATATATTTTT